GAGTATGAGGTCTGGGATGTGGTTCATCCCCCCTCATATCTCCAATACCGGCAGGTGCCGTGGAAGGATTTATTTATTTATATATATATATTTAGCTAAGTTGGTGTATGTCACTCTAATTCTCTTGCACCGTTCTCTTACTTGAGACATGCTCCTCGATGCACACAAATGAGATTTGAAAGATGACTTAAAATAACATGAAAAAAGCTGCATTACGGTGCAGATAACATGCTCTGAGATCGTAGTAGCAGGCTTTTCTCCCCATGCCAGACCTGTCATGGAAAGTGACAGGCCCGCGATGGTCATAAACCTCGTCTTCACTTCCTAATGGCCTAAAATTATATTTTCTCCATCTTTCCTCGACATTGCGTTCCTAGAGCATGGTGATGCGGGCTCCTGTTCCCTAATTTATTTAATTGTAAGGAACTGAGATAACTCTACGCCGAAGAATATGTTTTTTTTTGTTTTTTTTTTTGGGGGGGGGACTCCATCATTAGAGGAATCCTAACGCGCTCATGGCCAAAATGCAACAGCCTCATGATCCCTTCCTTCATTTCCCCCTCTGAACAATTACTCTAACCCCGAGCTTCCTTTGACTTCGTTTCTTCCCTGAATACGACCATCCTCCTCCTCCAGACATAATCTCCTCTTCAGGAAGATTACTTTCTGCACCTTCACCATTTCATCGATGAGGTCTAGCATTTACGCCCGGGGACAGGAAAGCAAACGAGGGAATTGTCAGTTCTAGGTCAAGGGGAAGTCATGGAGGGCGAGAATTCTACATTGAGGTTATAGGAAGAAAATAAATGGATCGCATCACTCGTTACCCGCTACGCCTTCACGGACGGCGTTTTCCAACCAACTTCATTCTGAACCCGAGCGCTGGGAAGGGAGAACCTCCTTCGTGGACGTGATGAGGCGAGGGTCCGCATTCCCCCGAAAGGAATTCATATCCAGACAGTGGAGGGGAAGCAATGAGAAACCAGACAGTAAGGGACAAATTCTTTCCCAGTTCCTTTTTCCCCATGGAAAGAACGACTTCATTCAGGATGACCTCTCTGACCTGTCTGTGATGATGTGAAAGAAAGTTTTCGGTATAACATGCATAAAAGAACATCCTCTAAGAAAGAGATGAATACTGCCTCAAAGATGGCTCATAGGATGGAGAGGGACACGGAGTGAAACTTCCTCACGAGCGTCAGAACATTTTTGTTCGGATGCGAACAGGGTCTATCGATAGCCAGATATACACCCATCTACAGGAAAGAGATTTTGACGTCTCTTTCAGTACGACAGCCAACATGAACCTACGAGCCCATAGCATGCAATTATTCAGTTCCTGATACGAGGGTTTCTGCTTCAATTTCCACGCTGAAATATGTTTACAGTTAGGCTTTCTCATATTTGCCCATCGAAGAGACCGGACTGGGTTGATACTCAAAGGGAACATGACTCTACTGTAATTGCTGTGATTTCTCCCACGCATGGATTTCAGTACATTCGAAGGTGATCAATGGTAGTCTCACTATAGAAACCTTTGGAAACTTTCTCGATGAAATGAGGGCCATGATTGGGCCAGAAAAACGGAGCTGTTTTCATCGTGGAGAACTGTATGGCTCACCGACAAATGATTCCTCGATACCCATCCCATTGAATTAACTTCTCTCTTCAAATCAGAGGTCAAGAGATAGCTTAGGTTCTCTATCGGCTCCCATTGCCACTGTGTTGCAGACCGAGATGTGTCTGACACGATATCGCAGGAACATTCTCGAACAAACTATACATGACGCACTAGAGAGTTTGCATTCCCGATTATATGCCGCGGAGCATACTCAACCGTTTACATGGACGCGTCATCGAATACAGAAGTCATTTTCGAATGCAGTCGTCATTTCAACGCCATGGAAGGAAAAGGCCTTCACTGTCTGGTTTCTTCGTGTTTCTCCTTCCCTTCCTCCCCTGTCTAGACGTGGATTCCTCGAGGGGGAATGCTCACCCTCTGCTCTTCACATCCATGGAGGCTCTCGCCACAAACATCCTGGGTGACCGGCTAATAGGGAACGAGAAGGGGTTGGGTCTAATTTACAGGGCCTATTCCTCGATTGCTTGGGGCACGTTCGCCACCTGGCTTTAGAGAAAGTAACCAGACCGTTATAATGGGACTCTATAGCGCAAAAACTTTGTTCGATTTGCATGAAAACGAGCCCAATTTAGGCAGAGCCACATGGTGTATTGGCTCATAATGAAAATTTCTTTGGGTTGATTTATTGGTTTTTGCGATCGATTTTGCCGCTTTTGAGATACAGATATTAAGTACTGATTATTACTTGATAATGAACTTCGTACTGCACTCAATGGAAGGAGCTTCAATTCCGTAATTCATTGATATATTTTGTATAGGGGTGAGAGGGAGTACTTTTGCAAGAGAGCGCTTTTCAATTTTCAGGTTGGAAATTAATGGTTGAGCTTACCCTTAAGGAGAGGAGAGAGAAGGAACTCACTCATATGGTTGCCCAAACAAATATCCTCCCCCCCCCCCCCCCCCCCCCCTACCCCTCCCCTCAAATATTATTTGCTCCAAGATCATTTTGAACCATGGGAAGAGGAATTTTATTGATTGCTTTTAAATATTCCTTTATTGATCACGTATGATGTCCACCTTGACCGTTATCCTAAACATTGCAAATTAACTAATGCGGAGTAATACTTGCTCGCGGCGGAATAACCACGTGTAAGGTATCCACTTTTTTTCATCAGCCATAAAGACAAACGGAAAGTGCATTTTTCTCTTTAGGGCAATTTCAAAAATTCTGGATTTTCACTTTCAGATCCTTCCTTATGTTTTTAATATTGCAGTTTATTAAATGGATCAAATGGATGAACGAGATGGATTTAATCCGAGAGAAAGAGAAGCAGGCATAAAACCAGACGGCGGCGCTTCCAATCGCTTCCGCTTGCGTCATCGGTGGTGTCGGATCCATCTCGCCTCGCGGAATCGAAACGAACGAAAACCTGTCGAAGATCTTATGACGTCATACGATTCCGGATCGGATCCGGAGATGGGAGTGGGGATTCCTGACGATTTCAAATAGGAAATGCTGAGTTCATGTCCCATCGGATCAGTCTTGGTTGACTGGCATAAATTATAATTAACTAAAATAGAATTCTGAAATTAACAACTAGAATTTGCTCAAAGATGGGACCATTCGGAGCCAGTCACGTAACGGGAGCGAGAGGCAGTCTGTGGGAATCTTAATCCGTGTCCGAGGAAGAAATTGAGTTCCAAATTGAAATTCCTTGAATGTAGTACTAATGTGGAGGAGCTCTTTGGGCATATTAAATAAAATGCTATTCCATTCGCACAGAATGGTCTTTTATTCTGAGAATTTAGAAATAGTAGCATTCCATGTCTGTATCCTGTTCTTTCTCCTCCCAAACAAAAAGAGAATGATGACTGGATTGCAGGAAGCATTCTAGTCAAATGTCCCTGAATCAAGAACTGAATCACACTAAACGTACTGTCTGAGCTGCGTATGGAGCCCTTGGAAAATGCACCAGGTACAAAAAGGCACGGGATGACAAGGCAAACGATAGCAGAAATATACGTCTGGAATTGCTAGGAGAGTGTGTAGTTGCATTGAGAAGTGGAGGTGGAGAGGATCGCCTTTTCTGCCCATTCAGGAAATTGGGAGAAGTCGAAGAGCCCACGCCCTATCGTGTTGATCATCAGGTTGATCACTGTCACGCAGATCACGTTCATGGCAAACCCGGCCTTAATCTGCATCGTAAAGAATCTCATGAGATTGTCGGATGAATGGAAATTAAGGGATGGAAATGAATGGATGGATGGAAATGAATTGTCGGATCGCAAGAAGTAATGTAAAGAAAAACTGTCATGATGTACCATGCTGATGGTCTTCATCTGGGTGGCCTCGTAGACTATGGCATTAGGTGCGGTTGCCACTGGGAGCATGAAGGCGTAGGAGCAAGCGACAGTCGCTGGCATCATCAAGTATAGAGGATTCACCTTTATCGTACTCGCCTATGTAACAATATGCGAAGCAAAGAAAAATATCACGAAGGAAGATTTAGCCATGGGCCTTTCCCAAGTAATTTAAATAATAGGTTTGTCATGCATTCGACAGTGGTGGAAAACATAACGAGAAAAAGAAAACCGCATTAGAAAGATTTCCTTTGCCGATTGCAATCTAGTTATGAAAGTGAATGGAAATGGTGTCGTACAAGCTGTGCAAGGACGGGAATGAGGATGGTAGCCGTGGCCGTGTTGGAAGCCACTTCCGTTATCATGGCCGTCGTAAGAGTGACGATGAAGACGAGGAGTGCTGGTGACATGAAATCCAGATTTCCCATCTGCTGACCAAGGAAATAGGACAAGCAGGATGTCTTAGAGGCCTCCGCTATCGCGTATCCCCCTCCAACAAGGAAGATCAACCCCCAGGGGATCTTCTCGTGGAGGATCCTCCAATTGAGAAGGGCCGGGCTCGATTCCGACGGTTTATCTGGAATTTAAAAAATCAGCATCTAAATTAACTGCATGGGACAAAGGCATCAGTACTCCCGTCCCATGCATTATAATCGCCGGGGCTGAAAATGTTATCCCCTTTGCGTTATTTGACAACTCCACACCGTCTTCATGCCACTTCTTTTATAGCGAATTGTATAAAACCTATGGCATCGGGAACACGTTCCGGTTTACGGTGTTAGCTACACGAAGATCTGGCTATGGTGTCTGGTGCTGCCAAGTACACCCTAATAATCTCATAAAGCTCTCGAATGACCGTTCCAGGTAACGGGGCACGTATTTCCCCCGAAAATAATGTGATGCTATCGTGCATAGGGCCAAAAACTTTTCGAGGCCAGACGGGCACTTTGGGCCACCTTGAGTGGGCCGCATTGAAAAGATACAATCTAGCTACATGGCTAACCCTGGCTATCGACCTCTTAGTTAAGCTACATTAAATCAGATATTCCCTTTAAAAAAAAAAAGATAGAATCGAAAACTGCCTTATCCTGCCGCATCATACACATCCACTTGTAGTCTTGGAAATTGGCACAACTTTGAGCAAGGGCTCATTTAAACGCATCGGTTCTTGGTGTTTCATTGTTTCAAGTTCCATTTTCGGTAAATGCACCTTTGCCTCTCTTTAACTTCATTTACTTGCTAGTAAAATCTCGGTACTATATGGATGCTCCAAAATTTTGCCAAGTTCAGCAGGTGCACGCCGAAATACGTAAGCATCTAAATGTAAGCATGTATTATAAGTATCTGAATACCTAAGTAATGACTAAACTTGATAGTTTACAACGAAGGATTGAAAATCTGGCATTAAAAAAATGTATTCCTCGCGATTAAACATGAGTGCCGATAAAACTGTTCAATCTTGGTGGGCCGCATAAAATCATGAAGGGGGGGAAAGGGGGAAATGATCCAAATTACCTGATGATTCTCGGAAGCACCAAAATTTTGGATTTGCGGGGATGATGAAGAAGAGAAAGGAGATGAGTATGGAAGAAGTTGCATCTCCGATTTTCAAACCCCTGGGTAAAGGTGCCGTGGAAAGTTTCTCGTTATGTATAGTACTTTACAAAGGTAGATGGACAGGAAATTGAAGCGAAAGAAAGTACGTACCTATCGCTTTTGATCAATTCGCCCCATCCACTGGTAAACTGCGGATCTCTGAAGAACCAAAGCAGGACGAGGAGGATGAACAAGATTAGAGTCATGCATTCGTGGAAAGAAATGGATCCGAGTTCCTTGTACTTCTTGTCGATCACAGCACGAGTAGCTATTTCTACTTTTCTCGTTTCGCTTTGACTCGGCACGCTTTTCTCTGGGTGCTTCCGACGATTCCACCATCTACGGATGTAGAGCACCCAGTGCTTATATTCGATCGACAGAGATCCGTATATCATGTTATGACATTACTCACTGGGCTAGGAGGAAAATGCCATGGAGCCAGAGCCAGGCGAGGATGACATTGAGTAGCATCCCTGGGACACTGAAGGCCAGCCAAGATCCATAATTCAGTCCTGCATCAGATCCATATATCCTAAAAATTGAAAATGATTCCTTTTCCTTTGTCCCATCTCTTCCCAGGTCAGAAGATTCCAATAAATCAAGACAAACAAAGGAGACCTAAAATCAGACATGCTGAAAGTGGAATATAAACAGCTGGACGGAGGAAATCGTGTCTTTGAGAGGGAATGTAGATGAAGGAAGTGACATACTCGTCCACGAATCCCTTAAGGAGAAGATTTGGAGTCGACCCGGTGAGAGTGCCCGTCCCCCCTAGGCCTGCCGAATAAGCAACGGCCAAAAGGACTTGAATCCGGGCTTCTTGGTAGCCTTCCTTGAATTCCACCTCCTCATCCTCTTCGTCCTCCAAGTATTGCTTCTCCCTGGATCCATCCGGGCATGAAGGCAGGTTGAGTTCGTTAGGGTGCTTTCTTTCCTTGGAGTCGGTAGTAGGCATTCATTTTCCACTTTCCCGTTTTCGTCATCCCCGCAAAGTATAGTATAGAAATAACATCTACATTAGGAAGCATATTATTTCCCTATTGTTCTTTTCCGTTTTGCCAGTGATACTCCCAACCGAAGGAATTGCAAGCATGCGCAAATGTAATGTTCATCTGAACCCTTAATAGCTTGCGACACAAGTTACATGTTTGAGCGAAAACTGCTACGTTGGCGGCTGCATCGATAAAGACTAATCTGCGTCCCCGCTTTCATTTGAAGCTCATCCTATGTGTATGGGTCGGCGTTTTCAACAGGTACCGTTTTTTCTTGCTTTTAATCTCGCCTCGAATGTCATTCATCAAAAGTTTTCTTAAGACGCGAGAAATTTCGAATTTTGCTTCCTGCCTATGAAGTTGAAAATTGTCAACTCCGAGTGGAGGTGCAGTCAGGTTTGAGAACAAGTTTGGATCTTGATCCGTATCGTCGATATACGTGGAAAACATCACTCCCAATTAGTATCGTTGCCTGTGACTCTCCGTCTTCAGATGGAAAGTCTGGTTTACACGAACTGCCTTTATTTTCGATATCCTATTTTGAAGTTTATGTGGAAACCGAGACTTTCCCGACCTCTGTCGCGTTTAAATGTTACACACAGCATAATTAAAACGTACAGTGAGGTACATATTTTGTAGTTTATGAGGTACAAACGTATGTCGTAAAATACGTTCTTCGAAAAGGTACCGAAGCAAAATAAAGCACACACGTATACCCTTCCTATCTCTATTCGGAAGGTAAGAATGGGATCTTTACGATCCCATATGTACCTCATTTCGGGTTTTAAGAGCGTTTGAAAATCCAGCTTAGGAACGTGAATTTTTAGCTTTGAGTAGCTTCGAGGTGAACTTCTAAACCATCATGCGGCACCCCATCACCGACATTCGGTGAACAGTCACAGATAAATCGGTGACAGCTCCACAAGGTGGTCTACAAAACGCGACAGAAGGTGCTTGTCGTCTCATAAGCAGTGACGTCTCCATTTATCATGGAGACTGGTAGCAAGTCCATGCTATTTTTAAATACATTCTTTCAAGTTTAGTTAAAGTAACCCGCTCATTCGTCCGGGAGAAAAAATTCTTAACCTGTTAGTTACACTTCGCTGTCCTCGTGCAAAATCTCAACATTTAAAATTATCCAAAATCATTGACTGCCATTGATACATGACAATTATACTTTTACCAAATACTACTTTCCAAGTATCGTGATGAGATGAACAGAGAAAAGAAGAAAACTCTTCTCCCAAGGTCCGGTGCGTCCTGACTCGAGTTGGAACATTCGGAAGAACATAAACACCATCTTATGCATATTTCGAGTCGTGGATTGGGAACTCGGACATCTGCATCTACAACGTACCAAAGTGTACGTCTGGACCATGCCCGCACAGAGGTACGTACGGAAGTACGCATGCGGACCCGAATGACACAAATACGTATGTTTCACATCTGTACCTCTCCTTGCACGTTTCTACTTTGCTGTGCAGTGTCGTATTGGAAGACGCGATTCGATGTCATTGCGCTAATGTGGAACCAAATGAGTGACATAGAAAAGATGATCTCACTCCTCCTCGATCTCCAGGAAATCGACACTGGTAGATACGTCGGACATGGTTCGCTTTCTCTGCTTTCGAAGGTGTTGCAAGTGGGTGAGTTCTACGCATTCTCGCGGCGACTCGTCCACCGGCCGGAAACATGTCTCTTTCTGCACGGTATGATCAATTGACGACTTTCGTACGTGTCATCGGAGAAAGAGAGAAAGGTAGGAGACGTTACCCGATAGATTTCGATTAGGACCGCTTCCACGATGGGAATCATCATGGCCGTTGTTGCTGTGTTGGTGATCCACATGGACAGGAACATCGTCGCCAGCATGAACCCCAGCATCAACCTTCAACATTACCAAAAGAACCTATGTTTGAGCAACGGTTTTAATTTTTTAAAACTTATTTTGTCTCTGCTATTGTGATTATCGTCATTATCGTCATTTCCGTTCGACACATCTGCGAATAGGCCTCGAATGAGATGAACCGGAAAGCAATGCCTATCGCCTTGAAACCAATTATTGGCTGGTAGGGAGGAAACTATAGGAAATGCAAACGGACCACATTTGGGAAGTTCCGATCCAGAGGAGGAACCTGAGGGCGACCCTCTGGTGTAAGTTGCAGTGTTCCACAGCAAGCGCGACCATGATGCCTCCTGTACATCAGCACATCTCAATCATCCATTGTAACTCCCGAGCAGAATATAGCCAGGAAAGAGATGGTGGCATACCGAGGAACATTATGGTGCTCTCCCTGATGTACAATTTGCAGACTTCAGAGGTACCAAGTATCCCGAGAAGGGGGAAGAGAAAGACCGGCATGAGGGACGTGATGGCCATGGGTATGGCATCCGTCATCCAGAATGCCACCATGACGAGGACGGCATATGCACACCTTCCCTCCATCTGCAGGTCCAATTCTTGTAACCATGATTGGTTTTCAGTGATACCAGGGATACCCTTTGTTTACCTCGCCGAATAGCATCCATTAGAATAAGATATCACCGGTTGGAATGCAGTGATAGACAAATAAAACCAACGCATCTATCAAGGTGTACACCAATACAGCATTTTATCAAAGAATAAATTTATTGCACTATACTGTAATAAAACCACGTCACTAAGCTACTGTAGCACGGCTTACAAAATGGGTTCTAAATCGGTAACACTTTTTTAAATGCACTTGAAGCATTCCTGGATATATTATCAATGGCTTTTAGAGGAAAACTCTCCCATAGCGTTGCCAAGGTTACCATTTTCCGGTTAAATATACCAGCGGTAGATTATCCAACTTAGAGAAAATAAAGTTCGTCCGGAACCCTAAGCCTCTCTCGATTCACAGGTCCCATCCCTCCATTTTGAGAAGAGGCCCGAGCCTGGGTGGGTGAAAAGGAAATTCTGAAAAGTAAAAACTGATGCGAGGGACGGGAGAACGGGAGGGGCGGGTGAACGCGCTCGACCTTCCAACTCTGGGTTTTTTTTCTCATTTTTGAAAGATGTGCGCGTTTTTGTCAAGAATCCACGGAACTTAGGTCGGTCGCTTTTCTTGAGGGATGCATCTGATATTTGACAGGTCGCTGAACCATTTTTTTTTCTTATCATACCCCCCATATAGCGGCGCATGTTTTTATCGGGTGCTATGACCGCAATGAAGAAAGGGTATGAATGACACGATGATGAGAATGGGGCTGCAAGGACTCGAAACTACGGCCATCGGTTTTCACCACTGCATGCAACCTTTGCACGACTTGGGGGAATCGCGCGGGATTGGAGTCATTTTGATGGCAGTCGATAGCGTCTCGTGACATCCTTCGGGGAGAGCAAATTGTAAATATTCGCCGGTTCTGATTTTCCATCTTGACAATAGCACCAAATGTGCGGAATACCTTGATGCGCTGAGCTCATGCATGTTGTTTCCAGCGTTAAGGTTGCCAGCGCTAGCAACCACAGCAAATGAAGATTGGCAAACTGCAATTCTTGATTTGCACCCTTTTCGCATGACACTGCAGCGCATCCTATCGTCATGCATCATCATCTAGCGGGCTCGTTTAAAAACGGAAAGCGATGGGCTCATGAATCTCCGTCAAAGAACCTCCAACAATACCTGAAAAACCGTTTTGATCAAGCGATATCGGGTATTTACTTCATTAAAACCGGCTTAATGCCTTCTCATCATTTCTCGAGTCGACATGGTGACATTTCGCATCCGCGAATATTTTGTGCTAGGATTTTTTCAGGCTCCTTAAGCAAATAAATCATCAGGTTATCGGAAAATTGGTTAACATCGGTAATGCCGATCGATGATTCGGCTTGGAAGATATTTAACGAAATGTTCATAAAGCGAGTTTTCATGTCTTAACTACGCGATGATGTGAGATGTAACTATAAGTACCTTAATTGTCTCTACTTATTAAACGAAACGTCGAAAGGGATCATCTTGTTGGAATGGTATGTGTTCATAGTCGGGCACGAAGAGCGCGCAATACTTTTTGCTTGCCATGCGACATCATTCACGACGACATGCAGATGTCTGCGATCGAATTTTATCGACCGATCTCGACCGATTTTCATCCTCATTAAAAAATTTTAAGGATGAATTTTTACTTTACGGATTTTACCTTCGACCCGAACCAGATTCTCTTGCATATAAATTTAAGACCTTATTTTTCGAGTCATTAGAATTCGGTAATAATTTTTTTTGCTGTTAAAAATAATTGACAAAAAGCATGGAGGAGAAATTGAAAATTTCAGTCTGTTCCAGAAACCATTAGCTAATTTATGACTATATCGCAGGAAAAGATATAGGAGTACCTTCACATCTGTCGGGAAATTCCAGAAGAATCGCCTAAAATATGACCTAAGTCCTATGTAAGAGCAAGCCAATTAGAATTTTTTGGCACCCGAACGTTTTACTGTATTTCTGAGAAAAGGTCAATGATGTCACTCGCACACGAGCAAACGTGTCTGAATGGTCCATAGGGGTCGTGGGGAGGGGGGAGGTGCAGTGTTTCCGAAGCACAATCATCCCTTCAAGGGTCTTCGTGATCCCATCACTCTGACATCGAGGGAAGGTTAGGAGAAGGTTGGTTGAAGGTTGGTCGAAAGTCGGTCAAAGGTTAGTGACCGTCACCATATTAGAAATTTCATGGTCATTCGTATACTAAAGCAGGACCTAGTCTTGGAAATATGACTGACGACCTTCTCACGCTTTAGCTCCAAATTTGGAGATTGTGTTCCCCCTTGAATGGGTTATGGGTTGACGCCGACGATTCACCCCGAATAAAAAGATCCCATCGAGGGGAGAGAGAGACTCGCCACTCGCTGTTCGGGGACGAGGAGAAGAGGAAGAGCCAGCAGAGGGACGAGGATCACGACCCAGGTTGCCCAGAAGGGGAAGACGTGCGACTTCCACGTCGCTTTCGGAACCTTAACCGTAACCGTAACTTCGCTTTCCGTACTTGCCATCGCGATCGCTTTCAGTGGACGCCTGACCACCACCGCTGTAAGAGCTCTTCGGACAGAGTCCCCAGAGTTGGCAGTCTCTCCTCGCTCGCTCCCGACTGACAGAATCGGATCTCACACCGTGTTGGAGTCTTCCTGGACCGTTTTCGCCTCCCCCTCGGTCGATCTGTTCGACTCTCTCACCTCTGCCGCTGTGAGCTCCAGCGAACGAATAGCCGGTATCTCACGTGTCACCCTGCTTCCGCTACCGACTGGATTAGAGGGATAAACACAGGTAATTCGTCTTTTGGCTGATGGCCTTAAAAGTCACTCAATACGAGTCATGAATCAGAACAAACGAGTTTCTTTCTCATTTCCACAGATAATAGTTGTTTTTAACGACTTGTTACAAATAATGGCGATAGGGAGCTTAATCGCTAGCAATGCAAGCATGACTTGTTAACCATCTAAGTTTATTGATTTAAGTTGATTGAGCTATTTATTGTCATGAGGAAACAAATCCTGCCCGTTTCGACTCTTATTTTAAGGGCATCGACGAATCGATAAGTTAATATGGCATGTTAATATAACATGAATCTTTCCCCTTGGAATCCCGGAAGGAGATGCCATCACTTTCCCAGTAGCTTGCTGGGCTAACGCAGGATATCTTCTGCGTTATCTTCACCTGATTCAACCCATTACCTACTCAGTAAAATTGGCAAAAGAAAAACTAAAATTGGAAAGGTCGAAACGCGTGGCCTTCATTTCGTAGCAAACACTGCAAATGACGTAAGCATGGCAGCACCATTTTTTCCCAGAATATAAATTTATTTCGTGCACTCAGAACGAAAACTTGGAGTTAACCTTTCAGACCTGACCATTCCAATGAACATTGCGTTTTCATTGTTTCTATGGTAATTTCTTGGGATTCTCTTGACTTTGCGCCGCATACTACACTACAATGGACTCAAATATGCATGACTCAATTCCGTTGGAGGCCTTTTCTCACCCGTCAGCTTTGTAATCTTCAGTTATATAATTACATGTCTAACATACAATATGAGGTATGGTATGGTGAATTTATACGAAATATAAAAACGATACATGAAACATAAAAATGCCGAGTAGAATGGGAAAAGAACTCAAGAAGGCAAAAAAGGATATTATCCCGATAGTGGCCTTAATTCTGGTCTGAAAGGTTTAATTCTCATAGGTTTTTACGGAGGATTTCTCGGGATGACATCTGGGCCGCCATTTAGGTGGCCCAGAGTGGCACGTAAAACGTCCGCAGCATAGGAGACCCCGACCGTCTCCGATTTACAACGAGGAACCGAACTAGAGGCAGATAAACCTGCTACAAATCGGAGAAAACTAAGTGCTCTATAAGAAGTCACCATGCTTTCAAGGACTCACAACCAAGTAACACCGGAACGTTTAATGTATGTTCAATGAACGTTTCATGAACGTCCTTAGGAACATTCCATCCACTGTTATACGTCCGAAATTTAGAGCAATCAAAAACAGTTGAAATGATGCGTTCCCTGAACGTTCATCAAGGACGTGAATTGAATATTCCCAAACGGCACCAAATGGAACAATGGAATTTCTTTTCTATGATTCATCAAAAAAAGCAATTAAGATCTTGAATACGATCCTCTCATCGCTGAAATTGCATTGAGACCGCATGAATCCCTGCTCCGACGACAGGGGTCAGAGGCCACCAAACAGCCGACCCATTCGGTCGGAAAATATTTCAATTCTTCGACAAACCGGTCTTATGAAGTGAAAGTGCTATCTTCCCCTCGTGTAGTTAGACAGCATCCTCATCTCCACGTGGGAGCTGAAATCTTTACGCGGGTGATGAAATCTTTACGCGGGTGTGAACTCTTCAGGTGTTATTCCTATCGGAGCAGCAGTTCTTTTCCTGTTCCGGAGAAGCACATGACAATGCAGCCAAATTACGGAAACTTCCAATCGCATCCGCAGCTATTTCAATAACAGGGCCAGACACGCCCCGCACCGAGTTCCCTTTTTTCCATAGGAGCATGATTTGCACTTTCATCTTCGTTTCGATTTCCTTCCCGCTAAGTGACCTTGTAAATGGAATCATCCTCCCTCCTTTCATTCGAGCCAGAGTTTCCTGGAGACTCCTTGGTCTGGGTTACCTCTCGAGACCGATTTGTTGAAGAATTCAAATATTTTCTCCCCCGGTATATGTGGAAAAAGATCGGCCATCGCGTGGAAAGTATTGGGACTGATTCCATCCATCAGGAATGGCCCCGCCAAAGCGATTACTTTCGCATCTGGCTTCGGTTGGGCGAACCTTTGCTTCGAGTCGTTGTCAGATGGATACCACAGATATGCCTAAGGCAGTGGTGCACAACCTTTTCCCCCTAGATGGCCAAATTGAAACTTCGTCTCATGTTCGAGGGGTTCGAGGGCCACAGGCCCTCGAATATGAACCG